TGAATCGAAGCGTTTCTTATGATAGTGATTTTAATCACTGTCAGATATCATCTATACTTGTCCCATCTATGCCTCGTCCACTCAGTGCCTCGATCCCACTGTGCTACCATTTTTTAAATTACATTAGTTAAAAAAATTATTCAAATAGTATACAAAAAATGGACAAATTTTCATTAACAAATAAGAAGATTAAAAAAAAACAAATATCTGATTAAAATTTCAAATTACTTTTAAAACCCTCGATAAATTATTAAAATGTTTATTAATTTTTAATAATTGAGTTATATTTAAAACAGGTTTTTTTTAAGTGTATGATATTTAACAACCCTAGCTATAATCAAATATCATTGATTTTAGGATCACGATGATACATGTCATGCAAATCAGTTATTTCCCCTTAGCCCTTACAAAACAGTGCTAAAGAGTAGATCCATAGCACAGTTGGGGTTGTGAAATATGCCTTTGCTTATGAAACAACAAACCAACATTAAATTTAACAATTAAGACACAAATATATTCTATTAATAAAAATTAAAAATATATTCACCAATTATTTGTTCTTTTTCTTCTTCAGTATACTGAATAATTCGCCAAACATTGATTCCTTTCTTTTTATTCGTATCTTTAATTGATTCTATATACGTTTTTGGGATCTCGCCAGTTGCCAAAGGTTCAACAAACAGTCCAACCTTATAAAAAAACCATATATATTAATATCAAGTTAGATAAAATATTAAGTTCAACAAGCTTGATTCTTTATAATTACATAAGAATCTAATAATAGTTTAGCTGATTTTTTATCTTCTTCGCTATTTGTATTATTTGGAAATCCCCATAATGTGTCTAAGCAAATGCAAATTTTACCTAAAGTAAAAAAAATTGTTNATTCTATTAATAAAAATTAAAAATATATTCACCAATTATTTGTTCTTTTTCTTCTTCAGTATACTGAATAATTCGCCAAACATTGATTCCTTTCTTTTTATTCGTATCTTTAATTGATTCTATATACGTTTTTGGGATCTCGCCAGTTGCCAAAGGTTCAACAAACAGTCCAACCTTATAAAAAAACCATATATATTAATATCAAGTTAGATAAAATATTAAGTTCAACAAGCTTGATTCTTTATAATTACATAAGAATCTAATAATAGTTTAGCTGATTTTTTATCTTCTTCGCTATTTGTATTATTTGGAAATCCCCATAATGTGTCTAAGCAAATGCAAATTTTACCTAAAGTAAAAAAAATTGTTGTTATCAATACAAATACCAAAATAAAATTGTTTTGGTTCTTATTTGAGAAGAGATTTATATGTTTAATGAATTTTGAATGGTCTACTTTTAAGGAGCCAATGATCGTCTTTATTTGTTCTAAAGTTATACAGATGTATAATAATACTTTTTGTTTATGAAAGTTTTGTTGTGTAGAGTATAGCAATAGTTGATACCCATCCTCACGCATCTTGAGGCGCTTGTGTATAACCGGTTCGAACGTTTTACGCAACGTTCGGCTATCGTCCCTTGCTCAACGAGCGTTATAGTTTGTTTTGTACGTACACAGTACACACGCAAAGCGCCTCTAGTAATCGGCAGCTGTACAGTCATTTTTTTTTTTTTTGTTCATTATTATTTTCCGTTTATTATAAGTTACTTTGCCACTCTCTCCGATCTTCTCAAGCAGTCATCAGGTAAGTTATTAATTTATTTTCATTTTGTTATTGTATCGTATAATAAGATTAATAATGTTTAGTATATAAGTTAGCCCACCTTTTCCCTTTATTTTTTAAGAGTTAAATTTGTAGAAGTGAACTATATATTCGTATTGTGTACATACATAAACAGGTGTAACTATTTTCTAAACCCCTCTTATTTTCGTTTATCCGTCGTTTGTTTTTGCTACAAAATAAACAGCACCACCCATATTAACAGGCAATCCCTATTTAGTATTAAGGAGCTTTTAAAACCGTGTACAATTATTATCGTTTACATTACATAGTTAATTTTAATCATCATTCCATGAAGTTTGTCTTCAGGGTGTCTGAAAAAAATT